AAACAGTCTTTGCTTGTCGATCGACTTTGGCTCTTATTTACATAGAGAATATCGCTGAAATTGGTGGAATTCATAAACGAAAATCGTGAAGTGTTAGTTGAATCTATTTATGAAAATATTATTCCATCCAAATTTTTCGCAGCGCATCGAATCTTCATACGGAATATGTCAAGTCATATAGATCAACTAAAAAATCGTGAATTTGAACACAAAATGGATTTATCACAATTCCCGAATCCATCAAAATGCTTCATTCAAACAATTCAATCTGATGAAAATAAAAGTGTCGAAGCATTTTTTTCACACTGAACACATTAAGTCATTCTCCACATATATTCATATGATGTATGGCAAATCTTGTTATAAATCATTAATGGTTGACTTGCTCATTCCAAAAATAAGTGCAGTTCGTATGTTTCATAAAACATTTCGTGGATCTTAGTTCCATTGTCAATTTAATACATTTCATTTTCAATTCACATTCATTCCAGCCTATATTGAACAGAATAAGAAAAGAATTATAGAACACAAGCTGAGATCCGAATGGTTTGCAATGTGTATATAAGCTGATTTGCATCGACTCGCGGATTTGCTATAAATGCCATACACTTTCTATGCTATGACTTGTGTATATATTTGTATGAATTCGTTCGAGTCTTCACGAATCTCCGTAAATTGGTGCGAGTCAGTGCGAGTTCCTTGCAATTCAGCGCAAATCATTTTTAATTTACATGAAAATCATACGAGTCTTGCTGACTCGTGACGACAAATAAGCCCCTAGAAAGAGAGATATAGAGGACGAGAGAGATAAAGGGAAGCAAAAACAACGAGCAAAGAGATTTATAAAAGAAAAATGCGCGACACATTTTCACGGCGACATCATAAAAAATGGCTCTGGCTAAGCGATAGATATTTGTGTGTGTGTGTGTGTGCTGGTGTCGATATACACATGAGCCAAGCTCATAAATAACATTTCGAAACGAGAATGGTAAAAATCATTGAAAATGGAATAGATCGGTACGATGAATGAACAGCGATAGAGTTGAACAAGGTGCAAAAAAGTCGAAGAGCCGGAGCAGAGAAAAGAAGTAAAACAAAAACGACCAGCAGCAACAAAATCCCATGGCATTTCGAATATGAATGCGAAAGAGGAAATGACCGGCTCAAAAGTCTACGATGCGATCGCTAATTCAATGCAGACGCATTGGAGAACAAAGTAGCTACGAGCCGCTCGCAATTGAGCCGATGTGTATGTGTGTTTGGTTTAGCAACACTTGAATGCCATATTTAACGGTGTAAATGGGAGAAGCGGTGAACAGCAGAAAAAAAAGCGAGAAACAAAAACCTACGAGCCACGAGACAAATACGTTAACAACGACACCAAAACGACAGAGTGAGAGCGGGAGTTGCAAAAATTATACACGAACATGGAACATTTGCTTGATTCAGCCTACGAGTTGACTTCCGAGTTCCGATTTACTGCATCCAAGCGCATATCAAATTATGCTTTGAATGGCTAACATTCATCGTTATTTACAATCTCCTGATTCGAAAAACGTGCACCTTTTTTTTACCCAGAGCCCACGACTCTTTTTTTTCTGCTGTTGCTGTTGTTCTGGTTTCGAATTCTTGCTACCGTTTCACATCTCGGACAAACGGAATATAGCTTATCGCAGCCAACGTCATCAGCAACAACAACGTCGAGCGAAAAAAAACCATCGAGCCGTGTGTATCTACCTTAATGGCCATTGGCATTGGGTGGTGTAGTGGGCCCAATTATCCGCTTATTGGTATTGATGTGTTCAATCGATACGCGAAATTTTCAAATGCGTCGATTGCACGCACACGTCCGATAAATATTCTAACGCTCCATCGAGTTTCATTGATGCACTCAACAATAATAATCATAAAGCAAACGAGAACAACTTCCCCATTCGAAAATCTCTTGAACGGTCCATTTCTTTGCAGATCGATGGTATTGAGCATGGGATTTGCGAAATAATAGCGACGATTTGGAGTTTTTTTTTTCTGGTCGCTAAATCTGTACTTTTTTCTCTTCGATGGAATTGCGAAGGAAATTTCCGGATTTTCGGATAGAAAAATTCGAATCGCGAAAATTTTGTTTTCAGATTTTGATGAAAATCAAACATTAGTTCTTCAACAACAAAATTCCAATAATTTTTCATTTTTCCCCCATACAAGATTGATCTATGAGGTAAAATCAGGTTCATCCTCGGCGATACGTAATTAGTGTGCGTATATCGGCAAAAAAAAGTTGTTGACCAAGTCAATCGTCGTTCTGCAATTCAAATAAACAAATGCGAAATGGGGTTTTGATTGTTGTGCCCACTGCACACAAACAGTTGTGTATAATAATATTGCCGTTGATTGTGTGCTATTCCTTTTGTTGTACATTCCTGACACCGGTTTTTCATTAAAAGAGTACAGTACGCGGCGGCCTCTATTGAATTGAACATTGAGACCTGAATGGAAACAACATTGTGTTAAGTTCGAATGAGTAGGGAATAAAAATCACATATACATATAAAGTCGACATTAGACAAGGTTCATGCTGTTTTTGCTACTGATTTGCTGCGTTCTATTCAATCAAATAACTGTCGTCGTCATCGTTGTTGCTGCTGCTGATGATGATGATGATCGTGGATGTCAGGGTGTTTTTCGCCCTGGCGCTTCATTGAACGCGTTCTCGCTCACTCTTTGTGTGTGTGTGTGTGTATATGTGTGCTGCGTCTATATTTATTTTAATAATACGAGGGTTGATCCGGTCTTTCGATTTTAATTTTAAAATTTATAACAACAACAAAAATCATCAGATGAACTTGTGTAAGCAAATTGTGTAGGGTATGTGAGCATTATTGTGTGTTGTACATAGCAAAGAGCGACGCATCAAGAGTTGAACCATTGTTGGCAAGCCGATGTGGCAACGATGGTTGTTGTTGCAGCTTAATTTAAATCTTTGGCATGTATTGTTTGTCGACGTTGTTTTTTTTTTGTTGTATTCATTCATACGTTCATTGGGTCGCCACTGTTTTTTTGTATGCAAGAGCGCGCTCGGTTCATTTAAATCTGTATTTATTTAAATTCAGTGCTCGTGTGCGTGCTGAATCGTTGGTTGCTTTGGTTAGTTTGAAATGTAATATTGCGGCGCGTTTACTTACCAATGCTGAAAATGCTCTCGAATCGAAAATGAAAATTCACACAATCAAACATACACACACATACACGCACGCACGCATGCATGCATGGAACATATGAAATGCATGTTGACGCGGTATGTTTAGACTGTCGGCGGCGATTTTTTGAATCGGTGTATTTTTTTTTTTCGAGCGCTCAACAATTCTGCGCACATTCTTTGCGTAATATTGAATAAACGATGGCTTAGAAATGTGTGGTATGTGCTTTGTGTGCACATTATTTGCATCGGGGTCTCGATTTCCTTTTCAGATGTGGTCGTGTCTATATGAATGTGAGTACACTGTACACAAAAGAACATTAGCCCAACCGATTCGAGCTAGGGACTTTTCTAATTAAAACGAAATTTCTCCATCAAATCGTTTGAATCAAACATGTGCATTACGCAAAAAACAACATATTGGCTCCAGCGAGACTATTGCCCATAAAATCATATGAACGACCGAGTATTTCCAATACAATTTGCCGAGTAATTGTAAACTCAATCATTTTACGAGGTATCTTCATAATATGTGTGTGTGTGTCGATCTTCAATATTTCTTGTGTAAATAAATTGTGAAAATCAAACATTCATAAAACAAACATTTTTCAAACAGAAAAAAGAAGATCCAAAGCGAAGAAATTGTCCAAACAAGTCATATCAACTGACTTTTATCTCTGCTTCTGTTTCTATGCGCTTCATTTTCTTCTTCACCTTCTTTTTCTTCTTCTCGTTTCATATGTTTTTGTTCCTTTAGTTCCGTGTGTGTGTGTAGAGTGAAAGACAGTGTCATATATTTTCCATATTGTGTATGCGCCTCTTCGACAGAAAGTCATTGATCGAATTCGCGGAACATAGCTATTGGCCTAGTGAAGAAGTGTAGGGAAAAAAATTGTTGAGAGAAAAGAAATTTTTACTGATTTTTTTCTATTTTCATTTCAACAGACGAACATTTTGTTCGATGAATACTTCCCGTTTGCTACTTTCCCTGCGAAAAAGAAATAATTCAGAAGACAAGCAGGAGGAGGCGATCGGACAATGGACAGAATGGTATGGAACATTTAGCAGAAGTCGTAATAATTTGTTGCTTGTGAAAAGGAGTCAAGTCTCTGAAGAAGCGTGATGAATTTAAACTGGAAGCACATTTTCTCTTTAAAAACAAACAACATGCACACACATAGGTGAATAGATAAGCAAAACGAATGTCAGCATGGAAATAAAGTAGCCACTGGCAGCGTTCGTCTCGCTTTTTTTATATTGTGCGTCAGTAGTTGTGTTTTTGTTGTTGATGCTTGCTGTGAGCATTTTTATGATGGTATGATATGTATGTACATGACCGCACGGCAGGACGCACCATTGTGATGCCCGGTAATAGGGATGATGTTGACTTTAATTCTAATGATAAATGCTGATTTGGACCTGTGAACACACAGCGCGCGATCGGAACAAATCGATTTCAAAACAGACGCAGTACAAACTAGTTTGACTGTGTCTTTTTTTGCTGCTGTTGTAATTCTTCGAAGTTCTGCGAAAAAATGGAAGGAGAAAAAAAACTGCAACACCTGTGGGAGAAGATGCTTACGTTGATGTGCACTTTGACAATAATACAGACAGACACGATTGAGCGAACAAACTAGCGCGCGATCTCTCTCGTTAAACTCTCGCAAACATGTAGGTGGCGGATTGTTGTTGGAAATTTTGAATGTTATAGTAAGGTGTATGCTCTTTGCTCTTTCCCACTCTGTACTTTTGCTTTCCTCTCATTCTCCTACGTATTTATATTTCATGATCTCTGGTTTTGTGTGATTTCGCGATAGTTGCTCGCTGACAGCAAGCCGGATAAAGCTAATAATTTTTTTCGTTCTTTTCATTTTAGTGTTCAATAGATTTTGTTCGAAATAAACACGGCAAGTATGGCAGTAATTACAGTAAACGTTAGTCATTTGTGTATATTTAGCTTGTTAGCGTTAAGTGTAATGGCAAATGTAATGGAACTGACGCCATTGTGTGGCACTATGGATGGTTTGCCACCAAAAGATAGCGATAAAATTTATTTCAAAGATAAAAATCAACGAATACGAACGGTCGAAGTGAATGGAACCACCTATGCCTGCTATTCAGATGGAACAATGATCGAGTCAAATTCATCGTCTTCGGCTGGAAATAGCGGCAAAATGCCTATTAACGGAACCCAACTCAACGATCGCATACGTGATGGTAATCATTTTGCTTTCATTAATTTCATTTTGCTTTTTTCGCTTCTTTTCTGGTATTAAAGTCTAATTACCTCGTTTTCAAAATCAATAGAAAAACCAAATGTGACACAGAAGGACGCATCAGCCACCAAATACATTGCAAACTTGAGCCGATGCGCCAAAAAAAATCAAACGTTCTGTACGGAAGATGCAACCTATCCGCTGAGCGTTATTGAAAAACTATTGCGAAAAAACTTGAATAAATATGCCGACTACTTCGGCTCCGATGAGTTTTATTATGATGATATTACATTTCGAGTTGATGACCTTGACGAGGTCACGTTGTGTGAATCCTATCAGGAAATCATTCATCCGATCAGTGGAAAAAATAGAAACGGTGAAGAATTGTACATTTTCAATACGCCGCAGCACAGACAAGGCGTTCGCGTGTCAATGTGCCGAGACAAAGGAGCACCATGCAAAATGACCGAAAACTTCCCCAATGGATATCGCACCGAATGCAAACAGCAATTGGTCTATCGCGAACTGCTCAGTTTGTCTCCAGAAGGTGTTCCAATCAAAGACAAATTCGAATTTCCAGCGTGTTGCAGTTGTGCTGTTTACAGAGGTGATTAACACAACCGAGTGAAAAAGAATCGATATTGTGCCCACAAAAAGACTATCGCGAACTACAATTCAAAATATTTGTGAACTTTTCTACTTCATTTAAAAATAAAATTAAATTTCAAAACTTTATTTCAAGACAAATTTTATTTCCATTCAAAAGAAGAATTGAATGTTGTTCAGCAATAAACTTTTTCTATGAATTTGATTATAAAGGCAATTAAAATTGTACTTGAATTGATTGAATCCAGAAGAAATTTGAATATATAAGAAATGTTAAAAATAATATGAATTGATAAGCAAATTAATAGCCCAACATATCCAATTGCAAATTGCACATTAGTTACGTTCATTAAAAATTTAATATTGAACTTGTAAAAAATATCGATAAACTTGAACTACAGAAATGACCATGTATGATAAATTTAGAATAATTTTACCTTTAAGGTATGATTGAAATTGACAAACAACCATTTATGATCAATAGCTAAAAATGTGTATATGAGCCGAAGAAAGTTTAATTAAAGTTCAGTTTTTTAATCGTCCCCATCAACCTCAGCCTCCCTATCCACACGTGATTGGCATTAGTTCAATTGGTCAATGTCGATTTGTAACTTCACATTTTAGAAGAAAAGAAGTAAATCACTTTTGAGTCTTTTTTGTAAATTTCAGCTAACATATCGACACGCATAAGTTTTACAAAAATCTCTGACACTCAATTTTGATCAGTTTTTGACGAGGAGTCGAATGGTAGTTGCAGTTTGCATTTCTGACGAGCCATTTTAAATTTATTATTTTCGCTTCAACTCGGGGTGAATTTTAGGAAACGGCCCACCAGATATACAAACTACAACTATCATTTGATTCCTTATCCAAAACTAAACCAAATTGAGTGTCAGAGATTTTTATAAAATTTATTCCTATCGATATGTCGGCTGAAATTTACAAAAAAGCGCAAAAGTGATTTACTCCTACACTGTGAATACACAGCTCGCATTCGGAATAAATCGATTTCAAGACAGACGCAGTGCAGACTAGTTCGACGGAATTTGTTTTTTTTTTTACTTCTTTTGCTGCTGTTGAAATTCTTGAAAAATTCTGTAAAAAAATTAAGAAGAAAAAAATGGAACACCAGTGTGAGAAGCTGTGTTAGTTGAAGTGCACTTGTTGCGAAAGTATTCACACTGGCAAAGAGTGGAGCACGGTTATGTTGTCGCTTCAAGCTTAAGATATTTAAATATGTGTCCAAAGTCGATCGGAAGCGAGACAACGAATGTGCGAATGTCGTCAATAAAAACTGGCTATTTGAATGTTGATTAATCGAAGGTCATTAGTGAAGCGGTCACTAATTTGTTTACTATATGCTCCAGTGGATTCCGTCATCAGAGAAACAAAAACGGAAATGAAATACAAAACAAAATTAGCCCTTTGCAATTAAAAATGATCGCATCGAATTGTTCCTATGCGATTGTTGCTCACGCCGCAAAAAAATCCCAACCAGAATGTTAAAAACCGAAAATTAAATCTTGCGTTGAACATGGAATGACGTGAAAACCGTCAGATGAAATCACGTAGACTTTTTCATTTCCACAATAAGAATGAGTAAGCGAACAATCGCATATCAGAACTCGTGATTTGAACATAAAAACGCCGACCGACAGTAGTACGCAATAATAAACAGTCGTGCCAATACAAACTACCGAATACTGAGAATAGTGATGAGAGAGAGAGAAAAAAAAACGAAAACGTCATTAACAACAAAGAGACACATCAGTCAATTCGAACATATGATAGCCAGATTTACAACGACGTACGAAAGCGATTAAGTGATCGGTCGGTCGGTCGGTCGGTCAGTGTGTGTGTACCCATAAGTCAAACTGTTTTATGTACATATTGACAATAAGATAGACAGACAGACAAAATTGAGCGAACGAAGTAGCGCGCGCGCTCTCTCGCTCAACACTCTCAAATGTGTATGTGACGGTGTATTGTTTGAAATTTCGAATGTTATCGTGTATGCTCTTTCCCTCTCTACACATTTGTTTTGCTCTCTTTCCTGCATGTATTTATAGTCCATGATTTCTGGTTTGCTTGGTTTTGTGTAGTTTCGCGACAGTTGCTCGCTGACAGCAAATCGAGTAAAGTTCACAATTTTTTTTTTCGTGTTTTTATTTTCGTTTCAAATATTTTTTCGAAATAAAAGTTTTTGTTTCTTGATTTTTTTTTCATTCGAATTTTGCGATTTGTTTTATTGCAAATAACGACAACAGTGAAATTATAAACTTCCATTTAAAATGTGTAAAAATCTGTGAAATTGTCTAGTTTTCGTACAGAAACGATTCGTTTTTTCGTTACTCATACACAAAACGTTGAACATTAAAATTAAATTGATCGAAATCGTGTAAAAAAAAACAAAACAACAACAACCATTGAAACACAGGGATAGAGAGACCACTGCAAATATGGCAGTAATTACAGTGAACGTTAGTAATTTGTGTATATTTGGCTTGTTAATGTTAAGTGTAATGGCAAATGTAATGGAACTGACACCGTTGTGTGGCACTATGGATGGTTCGCCCCCAAAAGATAGCGATAAAATTTATTTCAAAGATAAAAATCAACGAATACGAACGATCGAAGTGAATGGAACTATCTTTGCCTGTTATCCAGATGGAACAATGGTCGAACCAAATTCATCGTCTTCGGCTGAAAATAGTGACGAAAGGACTATTAACGGGTCACAACTCAACGATCGCATACATGATGGTAATTATACGCTTCTATTAATCTCATTTTGCTTTTTATCTCTCTCTCTCTCTCTTCCTTTTCTGTCTATCCCATACTAATACTACTAAAGTCTAGTTTTCTCGTTTTCGAATTCAATAGATGAACGAAACCTGACCCAACGAGACGTATCAATCACAAGATACATTGCAAACCTGAGTCGATGCGCCACTAACAATCAAACATTCTGTACCACAGATGCAACCTATCCGCTGGGTGTTATTGAAAAGTTATTGCGGAAGCATTTGCATAAATTTGCCGACGTTTTCGGCACCGATATGATTTCGAGTGATATTATTAATCGAAGTGATGCCTTTGACGAAATCACACTATGCGATTCGTTTGAGCAAGTCATTTATCCGACCAGTGGAAAAAATAAAAACGGCGAAGAATTGTACATTTTCAATACGCCGGAGCACAAGCAAGGCATTCGTGTGTCAATGTGCCGAAACAAAGGTGCAGCATGCAGAATGACTGAAAACTTCCCCAATGGATATCGCACCGAATGCAAACAGCATTTTGTCTATCGCGAACTGCTAAGTTTGTCTCCAGAAGGTGTTCCAATTAAAGAAAAATTCGAATTTCCAGCGTGTTGCAGTTGCGCGGTTTATAGAGGTTAGACTTGAGTAAACCGAGTGACAAAGAAACAAAATTGTGCAAGAGAAAAATGTTGTGAATAAAAAAAAAACAAAACTTGTGTAAACTTTAAATCTTCATTTGGAAGTAAAATCAAGTTACATATCAAAACTTTATTTTAAGACAAGTTTTATTTCGATTCAAACGAAGAATTGAATATTGTTCAAGAATAAAGTTTTTTTTTTCTATGAATTTGATTATAAAAGACGAATCAAACCAAAACTTGAATCTATAAAATGATTGAAAAGTAAATTTGAATAAGAAACGATCACAAACTCGTCAATTAATCGCTTTAGTTCTGGGAAGAAGAAAGAAAGAACAACGTTCTAATGTCTCTGGAAATTCAATTATTCTGAAGTGTTCCTGTAGATTAGTGTTGTATACATAGCATAACACATTGTTTTATATAATAAGGCGTACATTTACACGTTTAAATTTCAAGTTCTAATCACGTGTTGGTTCTAGAAATAACGTTGATAAAATATTTAATTAGTTTTTTGCCATCGTATGCTTTGTCAAGATAATTCATACGAGTCAAACGAAAAAAAAAACATTAAATGAATGCATTCGGAAGTGATCAAGTTTTTTTTTTGAAATATCATCGATGAATATTGTTAATAGTTAATTCTGTTTAATGAATGATTAGAACATCAAATCGTTCCCATTTTTCAATATTGATTAACTAATTAAAATAATTTTTTCTCTTCTATTCCGATGAAAACGTGTTATAGTCTAGTGCCAATAAAAACGTGTACATAATTTATGAAATACATCTAGCTACTATATTATTAGCGTGAATATAATCATCTAGACATGTATGTATACTACTGTATAGCAAATAGGTTACCTTAATTCATGTTATGTGTTTGATTTTAAATTCATAAATAAACGAAAGAAGAAAAAAAAACTACACACCAAGAGAGAGAAAATATGTGTAGCGAGTATCAAAAGTGGTGTTTCGTGTATTATTATCAGAGTGGTTTTTTTTAGAATTGTTGTTTCGTCTGGTTTTCACTGCTTTTTCGATGTATTTCTCTCATTGATTGGAGGCTTTAGTTTTATTGTTGCCATGCCAAAGATTTCTGCACTGAAACGAAAACTGTGCACAATCATCGGGCATAATCTTAATCGTAGTCATAATTTTCACTGACGGATCTTTTCGATTTCTTCTTCATTTGCATCGCGTTGTACGTGCCATGCGACGAGTGCAAAACCGAGAGTAAAGCCATCGAAATGAGAGTAAAACAATCTCGTTCAATACATTCAATACATTCAATTTCTATATTATTCATACAATACTTACCTTTTTAAAACTTGTCTCCCATTGGCCGGCAAATGCAAATTAAAAGCAGACACAGAGCAATAAAAGAAACTTTTATTGATTAAATCGCAACACTCGGCTTTTTTTTCTCAATAAAAACAACCGCAACGGAGAAGTAGCGATCAGTGATCGGTTGCATTTAATGATTGTATGAACGGTGCATCATTACGATTGGTTTGATCTTGAGTTCATATCAATCTCATTCGGTGACATCAAGTTCATTGCATTTTTTTTTATTCGTTGACAATTCGGCATATTTATTTGTGAGATTTTGATGAAGATAGGAGCTGTTTATTCATTTTGCTTTGCTCGAAATATCATTTTCTTAGAATGTGTCGTTAGTTCAGTGCGAGTTCCGTTGCCATAGACATTAATCTTGGAACAAAATAAAATAAAACTCTTGCTGTTTGTTTGGATTATACTCATTTTATAAAAGTGACCAATTAAATTTAAATCGATTAATCGAAGAAACGTACATGAATATATTGATAGACTTTATAAAGTGGCAACAAAACGAGGATAAAGTGAACAAAGCAACAATGTCACAAACTATGCGAAAAATGAGCTATTCGTGTGTGAGGCATCTACTAATCTTCATGGTAATCATAAACGTTATGGATTTGTTTTGTGCTGGATCGCCTCCTCCAAAAGATGCCGGAAACATAGTTTTCCCCGATGAAATTCATTACACTTCGACGCCGCAGTCCAAAGTTTCTGATAGATTGAGTGCCGGTAACAATCTCTCTCATAATCGTAACTTATTTTTTCTAACACAAATGATAGAATAATCGTCTGTATACACGGAATTGAATGATTTGAATGTAATATTTCTTTCGAAAAAAAACCAGGTCAAGAAAATGCGTCGCGTCGATTTATTGCTGATGTGAGCCGATGTGCGGTCAACAACCAAACATACTGCACAAAAGATGATAACTATCCGTTAGCGCTGATTCAATCGCTGCTACAGAAACATCCATACGAATATGCACACGTATTCAGTAGTGATGAGCACCCGCCCCAAGACGATATAATTAACCGAGACGGTAGTTTTGATGAAATCGAATTGTGTGATATAAACAAAGGTGTTATCACACCGACTAGCGCTAAAAATAAAGACGGAGTCGAAGTTTACATATTCAACACTGATAGCCATAAGCAATATGTTCGCGTTTCGACGTGTCGAAGCAAAGGCCGAACGTGCAAATTGATTGTGAGTGTACCGATTGGCTATCGCACCGAATGCACACAACAATTTGTCTATCACGATCTACTCAGTTTGTCACCAGATGGTAGTGGAGTCAAAGACACCTTCCCATTCCCTGCGTGTTGCAGTTGCCAGGTTTACAGGGATTAATTATATAGAATAATTGAGTATTATCATGAAATGAGATTCAGTTTTTCTAACAATAAATTCTATCGACAAAAGGAAACAAATGTTTTTTCAACATTCATAACAATAAGAAAATAGAGACATGACATATGTCAGCGAAACTATTCACTACATTCCTAAGGACGTTAGTTTGATGATATGCATTGCAAACTTATTATCCAAAAATTTGTATTCCAGATTGAAACCATGGCCACACAATGGCATAACAAGTGTATGACATCATTTGTCCAATCATTTGAAATAAATTCGTTGTACGCATCAACAAAAAGCTTTCGATAAATGGGAGCCAACTATCTTGATATACTCTTCGTAACAGTAGAATCGTTTCATTCAGATTTAGTGCATCTGATATCGCAAACGATGCCAATTCGAAATTTTTCTGCCCATTCGCTTGCCACAATCCGAAGTATTGTCGAAGCGTAGTTACGGTGAGTATCGTAAATCTGTTGAATAGAACCTTTTACACAGAAATCAAAGTCATTGTGATTTAATTGCATCAATTCTTCGGAAATATCCTATCCGTAAATTGTTTCTAAGGACTGAAGAGGCGGAATAAGTTCTGCACCTTTGTGTTATTTTAAGTGAAGCCAACAAATAAGTTGAATATGCATTTTCAACTCTGAAAAAAAAATAAACTCGCTCCATTTCCAGTCATGGTTTCTTTGAAAATCGGTGTCGATGCGAAAAATTATTGATTATTATCTAGAATAAAGTTGTGCAGTACCGATGCACGTGTCAATGGTAACCGCCATTGATAGTATGATATATGGAGCGTCTACTGCATTATTTGCACACGATGAATTAAGGTAACTAATTTAAAAATAAACTAAACTTGTGTTTTTTCAATGGAATTTCATAAACAAATCAAAACAAGCGAAAGAATAATTCATCGACGATCGCTGATTTCACAATGCTGTGTCGTGTACTCTATCAGTTGTTTTTAGTTGTTGGCGTTTTTTCTCTCTCGATTACGTTGCTATGTCAGAGTTTTCTGTTTCACTTCACAGCAAAGTCAAGGAAAAGGTTATGCACAATCTCTTTCGACACAATGCTGGCATTTTCGAATTTATAGGCTGATTATACGATGCTGATGGTTGTTTTGTTTTTGTTCAAAGTACAGTAATTCTTCTTTTGTGTGCTGCGCTGTTTATTCGTGCTTGATAAAGAACATTCAATGGTTTTGATCTGTCGAAAGCGAGAGTCTGCCTTTGGCTGTGCGACGGCGGCGACGGTCGCAAGGCGAAGCAACAGCGATAATGTTGATTAAGTGACGAGCGTTTAAGTCACGCTACTTGAGACAAGTATTTGTTGAACAATGCAAATCACCCATTTAATGTATTTGCTCACAAAAGTTTGTTTCGTATTCAAATATGCGGAGTTCACCAAAGCGTACTCAGAATAGAATTCGTTTCGGTAGGAATATACATAGGAACGAAGCAAATCAAATATTCCAACAATGTTCAAGTACGATATTTGTTTGCAGGTTTAAATCAAATATTTATGACAAAAATCACTGAATATTCATTAGATTTTATCGCTCAATAATCTAAACTCATCGAAATGCGATGGAAAAAAACCTCATGATTTTGTTGATTTTTTATTCTCGCCCAATTTTTCGTACAAAGACATCCAATGAAGAAAGAGATTCACTGCAAAATGACCTGAAATGCTATCGTTATTTGGTGTTGAGGCGTGAAAATGAGTTTAAAAATATTTACACCTCAAAAAGTGAGCAATCGAAAAGGATTTCTCAAGCAAAACCCCACGGAATCCCAACACACACACAAAATTGAGTTTTGAGAAAGAGAAAAAAAAGTAGAAAAAGGATCAAAGCGTCGAATACAATGCGATATTTCATTTGATGATAGAGGTATGATTCACATATTCGGTATATGCACAGAAAAAATCATCGAACTGAATTCCAACGTTGGACAACACTATCATCATAATAGCAAACGATCCACATCAGAAGCACAAAAGAACATGATCAAATGATTTATCTGTTTTGATTATGTCGTTTCTCTTTGGTAACAGCCAAAATGTTGTGTCCTTATTTAAGGGAAAAATACACAGATTTATTGTGTCAAACGGTCCTGGTTACATTTCTATTTTTCTTCATTTTTTTACTTTGAATCAGGAAAAAAAGGAGCAAAGCGGTGACAACACTTTTTTTTTCTTTCAAAAGGGAAGAAATGTTTATTCAATAAAATGTTATTTATGACCGTTGTTCGATCGGTGATCGACGACAATCACAAAATGGACTAAATGCGACCAAGAAAACCAAAATCGTTTGGGCGGAGTCGTGCCGTTGGGCTATTGTATGCTGACGGTCATTGTGTGTTTTGCAGCGAACGAACGAAGAATTAAAATGAAAATCCATCCACCGTAATGTCTTTATTCACGAATTGAATTGAGATGGGTGCATGATGTATTGGCTGCAAGTTGCACGGAAATCAAAATCTCCAAACTAATCGAACAACAAACTTAACAAAATTGTTTGTTTGTTTGTTTTGCTCGGGACTCGGTATCATTGTTCAATAAACAAGAGGAAAATCGCCTTTTTTCACACTCACAACGACCAATGTTTTTTTTTCTTCTAAAATTAAAGTTTGTTTCTTTTTATTCTAAATGCATCGCCGTTCATTTCATCGTAGAATTATCATTGTTTGTAAGTTGCCTCAAAAAAACCAGAAACTCTGTGTCTCTTTTGATAAATGATTCATTGGATGTTTCATGAATGAAAAATACCCCCGGCACAAACACCAACCTGACACTATTTAATACTATAAATAGCTTGTTTACGGAATTTTATAATGTCGTGTAATTCTGTTGCGTATTTTACGCTCAAGCGTGTGAAAAAAAAATGAGAGAGAAAAAACGACACTGACCAGACGCAATAATTCTAATCAATGGAAATCGAATCGATTTCATTACATCGCTTAATGGCCCCGGAATTATTGTTGTTCGCTTTCGATTTCTTTTTAATCGATTCATTTGATCGGCTATTAAATCATTACTTTGTGAATAACTTTTATCGGGTTTTTATTCAACGATTCGCCGATTTTCTTGTGAATCAACATTTTACTGGGTTTGATTTGGGATTTTGGTTTGAAAGTGGTGAGAAAAGACACGTCATTACTTGGAAAGGTGAAAAAAAGAAGTTCCCATTGAAGGAAAAAAAAAATTCTGACCAAAAAAGTATTTTCCACAATATTTTTGTGTACACATAAGTTCCCTACATAGAATGGAATATATACAAAATCAATATTCTTTGAATGAATGTCCATTCATAATTCGAAAATTGGCTCGTTCTTTCACAAAGAATCCCATTTCACGGCGGTCATTGAAGAAATCGGACGAATGGTCGTAATTCCAGAGATCGATTTAGAGTGGCAGCCGTCGTGGTTTAGTTTGGTTAGCCTCGGATCGACCGGTCAAAATGGAAAATGTGTGAATTGAAGGGCATGAATGAATTTCGAGTCGGAGCGTTTGCCAAATGAAAATACTCGTCATAACAATGAATGAGTGCCATATTCCATTGCGAGTTTAATTAAAATTCGACAAAGACCGTTTTCTCAATTCAAACAATTACACACGTAAGTCAATTTTCCCCATCATCCGAACAATTGTATCCGATCATCTGTGACAGGGAACATCAAATTAATATAAATGTCATATTTACCGAAAATCCGATTACGCATTACTGTCGCTACGTATCGGCGAACAAACAAAGCACCTCGCTCTCTCTCTCTCCCTCCTCGACGACACTGCTCAATTCAAACATTGCCCATTTTCGGAATTATTCTTGCAAATTTCAGAAGCAATCCCATTCAATCGATTGGAATGAAAAAAATGCCGTTCTATTGCCTAATCTGCCCAAAGATATTATTTGTTGTCAACAAAATCGATTGCTTATTATTCGAAGAGACGAAATTGACTTTCGTTAACTATGATCACATTCAATAATGCGTAAAATATTAAGAAAACTGGCAATTTTCTTGAAATGCTTTCGCCTTTCCATTCGCATGCGTACAATTTGTTCACTGTACAAAACCGAAGTTTTGTGTAAAGTCAAATATCAACACACATCCAGCACAATAGACCAAGTTAAACAAGACATGAACTAAGAAAACAGTGTATTGGTTGCATTGTGTTGTGTTTTGTTTGAATTGCCATTGTCACATATACACAGCAGGCAAAAAGAGAGTTTTCGCTCATCAAATGTCTTTCACTCTCCATCTCAGTGAAAACGAGCTCTACTTAACTACGGAATTTCCAGATCTTCTGATGCTAAATAATGCAAAAAAAAAAATAAGTCTCTTTTGTTCGGTAATTTCTTTGCTGAGATCATTTCTCGGCCATCACACACGACACGCATGTGTAATGGTAATGCACATTGAAATTTTGGATTAGCTATGATAATTGACTTTCTTTTAGCTCTGGTTTTTTTCTTCTCTCGCCGAAATGAAAGGTGGATTTTTTCTGAAGTTGAAATGGCAAAAGTCCGACAAAAATGAATTAAATGAAATTAAAAACGCGGCACTTTAAAAAGTGAGAATTTCAGAATGACCAAAAATGAGTCATAAAATGTTTTTTTTCTTCTACATAACAAAGGTAATTTTTTCTGTTAAAGTGAGACATTTGGTCTGCGATAAAATCACATTGACACATTGGGGCTTCACATTGATTCATGGAAGTAGTCAGTAGATGAACAAACAGTATGTACTCATTCGCAATTCAACATCAATCGTCAAATGTCTTGCACTACTTACTAAAAGTGTCACGTATATTCAAAACGAACGAAAAAAGCTTAAATGCCAGAAGTTGTGCATGCAAATAGATAGATATATGCAATGGCTTTGTGCGTTTCTGCAAACTTTCTGCAGAGCATCACAGAAAAAAGGTGTTAAACGTTGAAACAATGACAAAGCGGTAGAGAGTAAGCGGTAACTCAATTGTTCCGCAAATAACGCGCTACTAAAGAGAAGAAAGACCATTCTGTCGATGTAATTAAATGCGAATGAAACTTGGCGTTTGATACATT